CAATCATATAGTGTTCTCTATCAAAAAATGCATATGAAGATAAAGAAACTAGAATAGTATCTTTTTAAACAAGATCATTATTATTTCAATGTTTGTCAATAAATAAAAAGAAAGTGGATTTTTTCATGTTTTTTTTTCTTAATTTTTTAAGACTTTTTTTTAACAATAAGAGCAACTCAAAAGCATCTAGAAGTGAAATATTTACAAACATTTCAGGTCAGAGGTCATTACTGTTGAACATCCTCTGTGATAAATGATTATTTTCAAAGTCCAACAGCTTATTTATATGAGAATAGCGCCCTCTTTCCCGACATTGTTTTTTATCTAAATAAATATGGCTGTCGGTTAATTAATATTCATGATGTTGTTTTTAAACAAACAAACAAGAGAATACTCAAAAAAATCGTTGATAAATCTAATATATGAATATTCACGTACTCAATTGACTTGAGTACTAATCAGCATATAAAAAAAAATGAATATTAATGAGCAGATCACATGACGTCATAAACCAATAAATTTAGTGCGCAAGGCATTCCATCAATTAGTTATCCTCCAACTACGGAATGGTGATGATAATGTTTACGGTTGTAATATAATATTCGCACGTCACTAATTTTTCAATTATCAAAAAAGATGGAAGACTTTATGCTTAAAGAAAAATTATCTTTTCCAAAGATAAACAAACAAATAAACAAACTCTTTATTAAAATTATTATTTCAATGGAGAAAATTCTCAATTCTATATTCGTAATATAATCCAATCAATCTTGGAAATATTGTTTAATATCCTCCATTTTAAGATCTTAATAAATATCTTCTTTTTTTGTTAAAAGATAAAAAGAAACCTCTCTTTTTTTTTTTCTTCAAAATTTGAAGGAAAAAAAAAAAAGAAAATTTTTTTTTTCCTTTTAACTTACATGATAAATCTCTTTGATCCCTCATCTTCCCAAATCTCTATCATCCATCCTCCATTGTTAAAAGGGGATCATTTTTTTTTATATAGTTTTTTTTCGAATAATTCGAATTTAAGAAGATTAGTCTTTTTTTCTCAATAATCTTTTTCCATAATTTTTCTTCCATCAGGATAAGTGTTATCTTCCATGAAGATAATCTTTTTTTCGTTATGAAAATGACAATCATGTTAATTTAATAATTGTTTTTCAGTCAAAAAAATATAAACATTGTTTTAAACAAGTTTGGTCCAAACACTTAAATGATAGAAAGTGTCAAATGTGGTCACATCTAGTAGATAAATATCCATAGATATTTATTATAAAATGGGCTCCTGGTTGTAATATCAAACCAGAAAAGAGAATGATTATTTCTCTTCTCCCCAGGCGGTTCATACTGATTAATGACAATTGGCTCCTGACGCTCTGGTATTTATAGCAGATGACAATCAGCGACCTCTGTCGACAAAATCAAGAATCAAAATTAAAGTTTGGTTTCCCGTTACCCACCTCCACCCTAAAAAAAAGTCCAAAAATTTCATATTATAACATTAAAAAATTTATTTTTATATTTGTCCTTTCATTATCACTTCATTCACTTTTTATTCGGCCTTCACCTTTAACATCACCCCATTAGTTTTTTTTTTATTCGGCCTTCACCTTCAACATCACCCCACTTTTTTTTTTATTCAGCCTTGACCTTTAACATCACCCCATCATTTTTTTCTTATTCGGCCTTCACCTTCACACTTAAAAAAATATTTAAAATGTAATTTGCTTGAAAAAGGAACCACACTAGGATTGTTTGCACTTGGTTTTCTTTTTAATAAAATAGTACATTTTCACTTTTGTATAAAATGTACATCTTTTTCAAATTTTTTGTTTAGAAAAATGAAGCAAACTAAAACAAGATTATTAATATGTTGCTTTAAAATTTAAGAATAATTCATTTTGTGTGTGAAAAGGGAACCACACTAGCACAGATTTTTAAAAAAATGACTTTTGTTTGAATGGTAAGTAATACATGGATTCAATTTAGAAAATGTTTTGATTGATTGGGGAAAAGGAACCATACCAGAAATTATTTTTTGATGTTTTAAAAAACGAAATTTTTAAGTAAATGAATTGTCAGGGAAGGGAACCATACTAGAAGATAATTTTTATGTATTTTTTTTGAAAAAATGCTTTGTTTTGAAAGAAACCACTCTACCTTCTAAAGAAATATGGGAATAAGTATTTCAATGAAAATGTCAGAAATTGTCAATTACACTAGTTAAACTGTTTTAAAAAAAATTCTATACACAATTGTGTAATTTATTTTTTGAAACAAAATTTTCTCAATAGTCCAGCCATTTATTGTGAAAAAACAATGTTTTTAATGGAATAGAAACCATGCTAAATAATTTAAGGTGATTGTAGACTAAGCTGAAATAATTGCAGCATAGAGTAATAGAATACATTTGAATTAATTTTTGTAATGATGGTAAATTATGCAAGAAAACTACACTAGCATTCAGGTTTAATACATTTCATATATGGAAAGAAAGAAGAACCATACTATGATATGGTTTGAGAAAAAGTCATATTGAAAGACATTTTAAATTCATAATAAATCTTTTTTGTTTTGTTTTGATGATTTCAAATGTTGTGCTTTTAAAGTAAAACATTCAAAAATGTTTGAGAGGGATAGGAACCACACTAGAACACACAACTATAAAATACTAACTTTTTTTAAGAAAAAAAAAATACTAGAATACATTTTCAAGTGTTTTTCTTATGGAAGGGAACCAGATTAGTCAGGAAAATCCTATTAGAATATCAAAAAAGGAAGCCATACCATTATTTAATGAAAATATTATTTTTTAGGGGGGAGGGGGACAGGAACCAGCATAAAACATTTTTGTATGTATTTCATATTTAAAATACGTTTGCTTAGCCCGTGAGTGGAATAACTTTATTATATATTTTTAATAGTCAAAGTTTGGGAAAAGAAAACCACATTAAAATACATGTGAAAATGTAATTTTTAGTGGGAAAAATTTCTTGAATACAATTCAAATACTGGAATATATTACAGGAACCATACTAAAATACAATTTATATATGTTTTGTTTGGTTTGTAGTAGAATGTTAGAGAAATATTATTAATATTAGTTTTTTAAAGTATTTCTTTTTGGGACAAGGAACCACACTATAACATATTTTTAAATGTTTTGGTAAGGAGATAAAGGTATACTTAAAGACATTTCAAAATGTGTTTTTTGTGTGGTTTAAGACGGGACGGGAACCGTATTACAATATATTTTTCTCAAATTTAATCAAAGAAAATGAATAAACCTGCTTTGTTTTGAAGACGAACCATACTACAATTGATTTTTATGCATTTACTGTAGAATTTTTTCAAACCACACTAGAATACATTGTATTATGTTCTCTGTTTGGTAGGGGAACCATACTACGAAACATTTTAAAATATGTTTTGTTTGAGAGGGAAGTTTTGGTTTAAAAGACACCATACAAATGTGTATCAAAAATGTGCTCTGTTTTTTGGAAGGGAACCACACTATAACATATTTTTTAATATGTTTTGCATTCAAGTAGTTTTGATTGCATGTATAAAAAAAATGCAGGAAAATGTATTTAAATGTTTTTTTTTTGAAAGATAAGAATACTGCAATACATTGCTTTGTTAGGAAAGGGAACCACACTATGTTATATATCATTCTGTTTAAACTATAGTGTATTCCACTAATAGTACTGTTTTCTTTCATAGCCTTGTCATAAATTGACAAGCTATATATGGTGGTGTACTGCTAGGGGGACCATACTAAAGTATATTCAAAATACCCTTTTGTCTTCAAAGGAGAGTTATATTAAAACACATTATTTTCTTAGGCTGAGGGTTTGCAAAAAGAGATAACTAAATTTCAAGGAATTTTAAAATAAATTTGAGAGTGGAACAGGAACCATATTAAAAAGGCTTGGGTATGGGAGAACATTTTGGACTGAAAAATATAAAAAACATGAAGGATTTATTCTTATGAGAGCGACCATACTTGAAGACAATTAAAATCTATTGTTTAGTTTTTAAAGGAAACCATACTATTATACCATTAAGGATGAACCACTCTAAAAATACAATTGTAAAAATTTTTATTTTAATAGAAACAAAAACATACAAGAACATTTTTGAAAATGTACTTTTGATTTTCAAGGAAACCATACTAAACCTTTTAAGAACATATTCAATGGATTTGAAATGTGTATTTGGGGGAACGGAAACCACGCTAAAACAAATAAGGATGTTTTTTTAAAAGAAACTTTACTAATGAATGTTTTGTCTTGATAAAAAAAGTATAGCAATAGATACTTTTAAAATGTGTTTTGTATTTGAAGGGAACCACACTAAACTTTATTTGGCAGAGGAACAACAATAGAATACATTTAATTTATTACTTTTAAGGAAACCATACTAGAATATAAAAAAAATTCTTTTGGAGAACCACACTAGAGCAAATTGTTATAATAGGCTGCTTTGAAAAGAGTGTTTTTAAGAAAAAAGGAAACCACTCTAAAGTACATTTTTAAATGTGTTCTTTTTCCGGTGTTAATGACGGATTAGGTAGTGAATCAGCAATGGAAGCGGGGTCACTTTCTCTGCAAAATTATCACATTATTATCATTTCCTACAACAGATTTTCTAGTATGGTTCCTGTCATAATAAAAACACATTGTACATGCATTTTAGTATGATTTCTTTAAGATAAAAAGAAGAATTCTCAAAATGATTTAATTTATGATAGATATGTATTTTTTCGTGGGAAGGGAACCTTACTAGAATACAATTTAAATGTATTTTTTTGTGCGGAAAGGAAACCATACTAGACAGACACTTTCAATGTTTGTTTTTTTTTGTTTTTTCGGAACCACACTAAAACAGTTTTTGAATCTATTTTTTGCGCGGAACGGAAACCATATTAGAAAATAGTTAAAGTCTACTTTTTAATGGATAGGGAACCATACTAGAACTAAGCTGAAGATGAATCAAAATGGCGCTTATAGAGCGCTGTTGATGAAGATTTTTGCGGTTGTTTTCTAAAGAAAAGAGAAGAACAAGGATAAAGCGTTTGAACGTGAGGAAGAAGATAAAAGAAACAGAAGAGAGATTCAAGTGCATCTAGGAGATATTGTTTATAGATATTTCATCTTAATTTTACAATTGATTGAATAGTGAATGAATGAACGAATAAAAGAATGGAAAAGATTCTATTTTGTGATTGGAGGTTGATAATGAATATTCAAATATAATTTGTCAAATTAGAGCAATGTTCTCCATCTTCCGGATAAATATTCACTGTTGCCATGGTAAAAGAAAAAAATGGAGATTATTACTCGACAGTTGCTGTGACCTTTTAAATGCTCATTTGAACGTTGTGAGTTGTTTACTGGTGTCACTGTTGATTCATTTTGTACGTTGGAAGCGTTTTGTTAAAGGAGAAACGATAGAAAAATGTCGGATAGCGATATATCGCTCAGCGATTTGTTTGAAACAAGAATTGAAGCCGATGAATTAAATGTCGGAAATGCGGTGGACGACGACGAAATGTCGAAATGTCAGCTAAAACTTGAAGAATTACTTGCTCAGGAACAACGAGATATGGAAACGCTTGAAAGTCGGGTATCCGCTCTGCATAATGATGATTCGTCATCACCGCCGCAAGGACCAACCGCTGCAGAGATTCAAGCCGAATTGGACGAATTAAAAGCACTGTTGGAAGCTAATACAACTGCCGCCGAAAAATTAGATAACGATTACGATACGGTTATTAATAATTTAATAACAGAAAATCCAGAACTTAAAGATTCTTTACATCTGGATACGCCTTCTGCTGTTCTGGCAAAAAAGGCTGGTTACATAGCTTCCGATTCTGAGGATGAAAAGGAAAAGAGGAAAACCGTATTTAAGCCAAGAGTAACTAAAAAGAAGAGACGCCAACCAACTATTATGCCAATATCTGGTTAGTTTCCTTTTATAATTCAATAATTTATTCACTTTTTTTTACCTTTTCAGTGACCAATCAAGAAGCTCTGTCATTAATGGAAGAAAACGAATCACCTCTATTTCGCAATTTCTAAATTTAATTCAATTTTTAACGGTTTCATATAATAAATTCATTAAACAAAATCTCAAATTGTTATGTATTTTGAATAGTTATTTTCGTTCTGTTTTCATTTCGATTCAGAGGTAGACGTACCAGTTTTCTTTGGAATTGTGGTTGAGTGGATACCTGTTTCCTGGTTATATGGTTGATTGGGTTGCCTATATTCACTGGTTATATGGTTGACGGGGTATCTATTTCCTGGTTATGTGGTTGATGGGGTGTTATTATTCTGGTTATATGGTTGATGGGATATCTTTATCCTGGTTATATGGTTGGTTGGGTACCTATTTTCCCTGGTTATGTGGTTGACAGGGTATGTTTATCCTGGTTATATGGTTGGTTGGGTACCTGTTTTTGGTCCCGCGGTTGACTGGTTCCCATGACATCCTGTTTGCGTAACCAAACATTTCACATGTAAATTCATTATTTGTAGTCTTCGCTTTCAAAAGGCATTACTCTCAAATTTTTCGCACAACAGTCAAAGAACATAGGAAGGATAACGATAACGATAACGATGATCTAAATGATTGAAATATTTAAAAAACGTATTAAAAATTTCGATAACCTTGACCTTTCTTATCTCACCAAGATCAATGACGTCATTCCGGTTCATACAAATTTTGAATTAACGGTTGTAACGATGTTTTTGGACTGTTGTATTTACGGCGGAAAAGTCGACAATTTCCGAGTGAATTTCATCATCTTTTTTTGTTTATTTGCTAGATGAAATGTTTACAAAGCGTTTCAGTAAGTTTTTAATAATTTTTATTAGAAAAAAACAATTTTATTCGCTTTCAATCGTAAATATTAGTTAAAATTTAATGGTTTCTTTATTTTCGCGTATTAAAGTTCAATCACCAACAACGCAGTTGTTTGTTTGTTTCTGAAGAAGAAAACAAGTTTGTCACTTCAATCAAAGGAGGAAAGACGAAATAGATATCATTCTCTTATCTGTTCACCAAGCAAACAAGTTCACTTTTCTTCCTCTTCAAATCAACCATAGGAACAATGAAAGAGTTGAAGATACGCTACGAAAAGTGAAGAAAATGGAGAGATGGAAAAAAACAATCTTTGACCAACTTTTAAGGTAATCGTAAGAATAGAAATAGGATAATCTAACGTATTTTCTTATGCATGATTACTTGGTGGAATCTAAGTACCTAAACTTCTGTTTAGAATGACCTACAAATTATTTTTTATGATTGTTTAATTATAATTATTAATGGAGGAAAATCTGTAAAACAAGAGAAATAAAATAATTTTCTTGATTACTTTTAGGGAATAATCGAAAAGAGGAAAGTTCTATAAGGAATAGAGCCATGTTTCGTTCGGAATTTTCTTTTCGAACAACGTTCTTTGTCTATTTTCAATTGAAAGAAAAGATAAGATAAAGATTAAAAGGGTAGCTATTATTTAACTTTTAATTACATTTTTATTATTATTATTGTTATTATTCATTAAAAAATTATAGATAATATTCTTTTATATTGATTATTAAACGTACGCTTATTTTCCAATATGGCGGAATGTTCTATTAATGGAATATAGTAAACGTTAATGTTCTTTTTCGGCTTTTATCAACCATTTCAAGATTTCGCTAAAGATTTTAGAATAATTGGAAGTGTGACGTTTGAAAAGGTTAGATAACCATTAAAGTTTTGATATTAGTCAGTTATCTCTTCCTTCAAGATATCATCCTAAAGGAAAATGTTACCTAACAAGATGTAAGAGATGATGAGATAAAGTTTTCAACTTTGATGAATAAATTATTATCATGTACGTGTTAATGGTGACGAATCAACGACAAAGAGAGCCATGAACGAATTATCTAAGAAGAGGCTATCATCCCTTATCATAAAACATTCTCAAGTCAAGTTAGAAATCTTTAATCAAGCTCAAAAGAATTTTCAACGCCTTTATAAGTCTCTAGAGGCAAGTATGCTAAAGGCGGATTAGAGGTTCTAAAGCTACATCTCTATATACATTATGATGGGATAATTGCGTTTTTTAATCTGAAATTAACTCTTTTGATTATTGTTAACTACTGAATATTTATAGACTTTTATTTAAAAGTCACACAGTAGAGTTTAATGTTCATCGAGTTGACATCATTTTTTCTATTCTACAGCAAAACGAAACAAGCAAAAACTGGAATATTAATAAGTATATACCAAAAAAATCTTTGCCTACTCTATTTTGTCTGACGTTTAAACGGACCGGATGTTCCTTTTTTTGTTTTTTAATATAACGCCGACGTCAAATTAAAACAAATCTTCTAAATAATACAAGAAATAAGGTACGAAATTCTATTTTTCTAAACAGAAATTCATTATTTTTAAACAGAAATTATTTTCATACAGATAAAATAAACACCACAAGCACCGTTAATTTATTCTTTTAATTGTTTGTCTTTTTCTATCGAATGAATGAATGAATGAAATAAACAAAATTACACAAATGGCCTAATTAACTAATGATCTAAAATTCAAACTACGGTAATGGTACTCTGATTGAGTGTTAAGTTGTTGAAAAACGTAAAAATTCGAAACCGAAAAAAATGAATTACACGAAAACCGGATATAGTAAATAGCATTTTATTAAATGACCACATCGAAAATTGGAATACTCTATTAATTTTAATTGTAATTAAATCATTAAAACTTTTGAAAAAGATCGCAAAAAAAGTAGATATAAAATATATGGCATATAACAGAAACTTGAAATCGTTTCGTTTTTTGCTTAAATAAATAATTTTCGAATTTTGGCCTTGTCTATTAGATACTATAGATGGCACTGCAATTTCAAATTGTTCGATTTTTAGAGAATTTTATTCGAATCGTTTATTAACAACACTAATGAACATTAAAGAATGAGAAGGATATGATAGATAAAACATGGCTACTGAAAATCTATCGATCCCAAAAACATTTATATATATATTTCGTATTGCGACATTTTAGGGTTATTCGTTAAAAAGCCCAATTGTTAACTATTAAAGTTAAAGGTTATACATGAGATTCAATGCTTCCCTTTTCCTTTTTTCTTCTTATCCTTCCTTCTTTAAAATGGACGAGAAGATAATTGAAAAAACTTATTTTCAATGTCTGCAAGCTTTGCTCATTTGACCAATATTTCATAATTTTACAAAGTTTCCTTTTTCCGCTATTAAAAGCGTTTCTTTCCTTCTCCTTTTCTCCTCTTTCAATATCACGATCTTTGAGAAAATTCGGAAAATCAATAAGAAAAACGATTAATTGATTGATTGATTAATAAACTATTCAGTTTTTTCTTCTTCATTCTTTAGAATGATGACACAATTATCTGAAAAAATTACCAACAAATTATAAACTTTGCGCTAGAAATAAACAGCATGACTAAACAAACCTATTATCGTTCATCGGTTGTCATAGTTCGCATCGAAACGTTTCTTTTGTGCAAGTCTTTCGTAGACAATTCTTTCCATACTGTAGTTACAAACTGTTGTATGTTAAAAAGGACTTGAAAATATCAACGTTTATCGCCAAAAAAAAAGTCATTTTCTTTAACGGCAAGGTTTCTTAATGTCGGCGGTCAAAGAGGCGGATGTACGTCATAATCACGCGCAGACATCCATATGTCAAGGTCATTCCGTCTAAAATTCGAATATTAAAAACTTATTAAACTGGCCAATAAACAGCAAATTTCCCATCTTTTGCATGTATTGCGTTCAAAGATATATTATCCTTCTTTAAATAGAAAAACAATGCAAAAAGGTTTATTTTTTCAAGAGATTATTTTTGTGGTTGAAAATAATTGATATTTCTCATTTAAATGTATAAACGTTATTTCAATTCTATCGATCTTTTCACTAATAAATCTTTGTCTAAAAATATTTTCTTAATAACTAAACAATTAATGTTTTTCTTTCGTTTTTCATATTAAAAAAAGGGGTTTGAAAATTGGAGTCGAAAAAAATAATTTCGTTGAAAATGCGTCGAGTTATTTACCGGTGAAAATTTTCATTACTTATATTCTCAATCAATCAGTCTATGATTTTCTTTGAACATATCAAATGAGAAGAATCAATGTTATCGTCAACGTATCTATCTTTTCACTTATGAAAGAATAAAGAGTTTTAAAAAGAAAGAAGCATATTCCACCTCAAGATTTCAATATTGTTTAATGAATTTCCTCGATCTCCTTAGGAGTGATGTTTATCTATGATTCCTTTTTTCTCACGTATTGAAGAGTGTTGTTTATAACGTATTTCTTATGGAAAAATGCGAATGTAGAAAAAAATAAACTCGAATAAAATGATTGCGTTGAAAAAAATAAAACACAATATTTAGCGCCATCTGGAAGATAAAAACTTTTTGATCGTGTACTTAGTGGATTGACTATTAATTTTTACTTTTTTTCAACAAAATAAATTTTCGTCTCGAGTAAATAAAATATAGAGATAAAAAAAGAAAAACTTGAAATTTTGTGGATGAATGACAACGACATCTGCAGTAGTATTTTTCGCGGTCATTTTCAAATAGCAGAAAAAGCATAAACAATAGTTTACAGCGTCTCATTTCCTTGTGGATTTTAGTATTAATTTAGTAAAAATTAGAAAATTCAGTCTATCGATTTCGACTGTCATTGAAAACAATTAATACAACTTTCCTTTGCTGTTGTCTTCGTTCAAATAAATGATTTTTTCATCAAATTACTACTTTTTCCTGCCTCAGTCCACTAATCTGTAATAAATTTCCTCCATCTTTTTAGAAGTGATACTTATCTACGAGTTCTTTTTTATTACATATTGAAGAGTGTTGTTTATAACGTATTTCGCATAGAAAATGAGGAATTTGTTGAAAAATGGACTCGAATAAAATGATTGCGTTGAAAAACATAGTAGACAATATTTAGCGCCATCTGCAGAGTGAAAATATTTTTGATTAATTTCTCAATCGATTTATCGATAAATTACTGATAATTTTTGCTTAATATCAATATAATAGATTTTCTTGCGTAGG